TCTTTTTATATTTGATAATGATTTGGAAGGCAAGTGGTTTTTGTTTGTTTTTGAAATGGAGTCTCGCTATGGTGCCAGGCTGGAGTGCAGTGGCACAGTCTTGGCTCACTTCAACCTCCGCCTTCTGGGTTCAAGCTGTTCTCCTGCCTCAGTTCCCAAGTAGCTGAGACTACAGGCACGTGCCACCATACCCAGCTAATTTTTGTATTTTTAGTAGGGATGGGGTTTCACCATGTTGGCCAGGATGGTCTTTATCTCTTGACCTTGTGATCCACCCGTCTCGGCGTCCCAAAGTGCTGGGATTACAGGCATGAGCCATGAAGCCTGCCTCGCAAGTAATTTTAATATTTAAATTTTACTAATGGTTAGCATCAAGATTATCAAATAGTTACTTGAAACACTTTCTTTAACCATTGTAGATAACAATAGAACAAAATAACGAAAGAACAATAACAAGAGAACCTTTGATTCTGTGATCCCAGAAAAATTCCTTGCCCTGCCCTTGTGTCCAAAATATGTCAATTTTTAGCTTTTATTCACAACTTGGTACTGTACATTTAAAACTATGATATTGTTTTCTTTTTAAAAAAAGTTTTTCTATTCAACTTTATGATTTTAGTTACAGTAGTTATTTTGTATTAGCTTATTTTGATTTCTCAGCTTTTTTCATTGTGTTTTTCAGTTATTTTATGTGCCTGTCATGTGAAATACTTTTTAAAACTTAAGGAATAAAACAGTACAAATTTTATCCAAGCTATGAAACTTTCCCAATTTAGGGGCAATTTTATCTTGAAAAAGGGAAACAGTATTTTCAAGATTAAATACTTGGCTGCTTTGATAAAGTGAAGTCTATGGGTATATTAAAATTTTCACTGAATAAGGGAATGTTTTGAGCTTACTAAGACATTCCCAGAATTTTGTGTAGAGTTCATTTACATTCCTACAGGAAAATGCAGCAGTCTGAAAAAGGATATATGTTGCTTTGAGGAACCAAATATGTGGAAGGAGATTCCTTTTGGACACTCTTCTACATTGTCTGCATAATTTACATCATTCTTCTCAAATTCCAGTCATAGATGTATTCTTTACATAATTTACCCTGTAAATTTTGTTTGATGAATTAATGACGCCTACTGGGCGTCTAGTATCTTTTTGAAACTCTCCATATCCAAGCTGAAAAAAATGGCACAGCCCAGCTCACAAATGCTGAGCAGATGTGCACAGAATTGCTATACCTTCATCCAGTCTAGGGTGATGGGACTTAATTACATGTTAATTAGCGGTGATATAACCGTGGATTGTTATTTTCCTAATTAGTCATTAATAACAGTTAACACTATAATGAGATCACAATTTCAGAATTTGGAGCATATATTGTTAACAATGAAATCTAATGAAAAACAAACTGGCTTCTTGTATTTCATAAAAGATGTTAATCTCATTGATAGAATTACTGCCACTCATGCCAGATACCAGCTTGCTTTCATTTTATTTGTTTTGTTCTCATTCTGGTGCCCAAACTATTTAATATGTAATATTCTAATGGGGAAAAACTTCTTACATTAGAGAGTGGGTTATAGTAATCTTTAAATAAACAAGGTCCTGAAGTATCTAAAGGCTGATGGTAAGAAATCATATTGCATTGGTTATAAGAAAAGCTTTCTTGTAATAGCTGCCAGGGATGCTCATACAAATCAATGCAAGGAGATCAATTTTTCTTAGCTCTTTAAATGTTTAAGCCAGCACCTGGCCTTTGTGATGTCTCTTGGTTGTAGGTAATAGCTGGGAATTTCAGGTGAAGGATTACGACTTCTGAGTTAGTTATGCTACCCCAAATGATCCATTGGACGTGGCTAAAATGCTAGTTTGAAAATATATTCATGGGATTAGGAGTGAACACTTCTTTGCCTGAAATCTTGTGCTTTAGCTTTAGTACTTACTGTAGTCAGTTCATTTCTTTGAAATATTGAGCTGTCTGACAGCTTAAAATCCTAAGTTTCCTTTAAACTTGAGCCTGGCTTTAGAGGAGAAAGGGGTGTTGTAGGGGTGGATTTTATGTAAGGCTCTCTGAAGAGAATTCACTGAAGTGCTTTTTGCTGGCAGGGCACTGGGAAGGCTAGCAGGCTGCTTCCTCTCAGTCCTTCTTGGGTTTTGCCCTTAGCCTAGATAAACATTTAGTCAGATAATTTATGTCAGGGCCACTGAGTCTGTTTTTGTGCCTTGGTAAAGTCATCATTTTCCTTTCATGAAGAAGCATGGAAAAGGCCCAGGTGCAATGCCCAGGTTTTGTTAAGCCTGTTGGATATTAGGAAAAGCCTTAAGGCTCTTCATATCCTTAGTTCCCAGCTGAATGTGTATCACCTTGCATCTAAGTTGGGAACTGAGTTATTATTATGATTTTTTAAAATAGATATGGCTTTTTGCTATGTTTTCTGGGCTGATCACAAACTCCTGGGCTCAGGTGATCCCCTGCCTCAGCCTACCAAAGTGCTGGGATTATAAGCATGAGCCACCGTGCCCAGCCATAAACATGTTGGTAAATATCACCTAACAAGATTATTTTCTTTGTGGATGTACTATAATCAGGTACCACAAATAAATTGAAAACATATTATATGGAGAATACTACTATGCTGTGGAATCATTACTTTCATGTCAAATGTAAACATCTAACTATACTGAGAATTAGGGAGCAAAGGGTAGTAGTGACGTGGGTTGTAGTCTTAGAGACCTCGCCTATTTCTGAGCACATCCTTTCCTCTCTTTGTCTTTTCATCTGTATCTTGGAGGCAGTTCTACCTGTCCTTAGTTAACTCAGAATCAGTGGGGATAGAGTTTGATATTGCTTAGGAATTAGAGGGCCCATGCCACATGCAAATTTTATTGTCAGTATAACTGTGTTATAACAATGGACCTTTTTGAGCTTGAAAAATGCGTCATAATTATCAAAGGCATTTAATGAAGAATGACATGCTGGCTAAATTTTGAAGACATATTAAAAAAAAAAAAAAAGAAAGAAAGAGCTCTTCAAAGACCATAGCAGAGGAGATAAGATCTGAGTTTTTAAAAAAGCATCTTAACATCAGAAGCACAGAGAAGGTAAGGGTGAGTATTCCAGACAAAGGGAATCTGATGTGAAAAAATGCAGAATAGGAATGGATAAGAAAAGTTAAGGAAATGGAGACAAGGTGATGTTCATTTTAGGTTAAATCTCTTCTTTATCAGTATAAAAGTGAAAACCTGAAGAGAATGACAATATTCTCAACTTTTATTCCATAGTAATAACAGAAGGCTCATACAACTTGCATCTGAATTAACTTGGAATGAGGAGGTTTAGCATTAACTGAGGAGAAAACTAAATCTTTAAGAGTTTAGGAGGATACAAAGTAAAATTAGCCTCAATTTTCTGGGCTTCTTTATAGAGGACTTCCTGGAGAAAGGGATTTTAGAAGAAAGTGATAAAAGTGGATTTCTGGAAAGGTTTATAGCAAAAAAGAATGCCTTGTTTTGGAGACTTGGGGGAAGCTTACTCTGAATGGTATGACCAAAAGTGAGGTCTGAACTGTCATCTTTAAAGAGGTACTTTATAGGTCCAAGGAATGTTGAGTCAGCCTCACTGTCTATTCATCTTGGTTTCATCTTCCCCTTCGCACCATAGCTATTTGAAATCCTGCAGGCAAAAGTCTGCTACTTTTTGCTTGTTCTATTCTTTGAAGTAGCAAAAGTTTGCTACTTACTGCCTGTTCTGTTCTTTCTATTTCTCCTGTCCAGAAGAATGGAGCTTACGATTGTTTGAGATTTTCCATGTTTTCATTCATTTGTCCATCTCTAATGTTTCTTGCTACTGTCTCCCCAAAGGAACTGTTTCAAATGAGACTGCTGATCATTTCCTAGCATGTTGCTTTTTCTGTCTTTGCTTTCTGCCTTTCTCCTATCCAGAGTATTTTTCACTGTCCTCTCAGCCATATGAGTTTAATCTACTTTTAAAATTAAGGGCTTCAGAAGTCCCTTCTCTGAACCTCTCTGCCAACTTTTTGGTTTCATTGAACATGTATTTCCTTGTGTTGTTGTATTTGCTTGTCTTGTACTGCCTTTGTCTTGTTATATTTGGAGCATTGTAAAGGGGCTGTAACTTGTAACCTGCACTGCATTGCTTGATGTTTCTGAAAATGTGGTTAGTGATGATATTATAGACCAGTGCTCCATGTATTTATGACTTACAGTCTCATATAGACTGATGGTTTTCAATTATATGTGTGTGTTCATTTTTAATAGAAAACCAGAGCTTGTTAAATGTGTAGAAGCCATTAGAATGTAAACTTAATGAGATGACCTTTTTTTTCTCTTTGGTATAGTACCGTATCTTCAGCACTTAGTTCTAGTCCAAATGTGGCACTGAATACGTTATTTGTTGAATAAGTGCTGATTTAATTTACTTAATCTGTATGTCTTCATTGGAACTTTTAAATATCCAGGAAGAAACCTCTAGGATGTTGTCTCAATAAACAAGATCATTAGGTGTCATCCCAGGGGTTGAAGGATAACATAACAGCATGTCATCATTTTCTCCTAGGAGAAGAAAACTTTCTTTCTGTTTTTGAGACAAGACATAAGAAATAAGATGAGAAATCATAGTTGATGTAATCTCACTTTAGTTTTTTCAATGTTTGTGATCTTTTTATTGAAAAAAATTGCAGTGGAACAGAAGAAAAAATTTGAGGGAAAGACTACTTTCTAATTTATGGGCCTTGGTTTGGCTTTTCAGGTGTTTATTTAAGGCTTGCGCACTCTTTTCTCTACATGGACATTTCATGGTGAATATTTTGCTTATTCTGCTCTCTGTGTTTTTTCTATGGCAGCTTACCTGGCAGTATTCAGAAACTGAGAAGAATATTGAAGATCAGAACCTTAAATTGTTCACTCTTAACAAGGCTCAAAAACAGAAATTAAGAAGCAGACCACTGACTTTTTCCTTTTTTTCTCTTTTCTTTTGCCTTTAGCTCAAGCCAGGACAGAACAGCTGCAGGGACAGTGACAGTGAAAGTGCCAGTGGAGAATCCAAGGGCTTCCACCGGAGCAGCTCTCGGGAAAGGCTCAGCGATGTAAGTTTAAAAAAAAAATCAACCGAAACCACTAGGCCACATGCACACCATTGGTTCAGGTCTGAATTACATAACTTTCCCTCATCTTTAGGATTCTTTTTGTCTACCCAAGCATTGTGGTTCACACTTTCTTTGTATACATTTTTGGCATTGTAGTTACGGTGTCATTTTAAGACGTCGTTTGACCAAAACTGTATTTTGACAAATCATCAGGTATGAGAAAGTATTTGTTATCTTAGAAACAACAGACTACAAAGAGGAATGATGATACTTTTATTATCTGTGTTAGAACTGAATGAAGTAGTCAAGTAATGCTGAGACTGGGTTATGGCATCATTTAGCTATTTGTAATTTCTTCACTTAGGAAATTGGTAACAATCCCTTTCTGTCGTTTTTATTCCTGCTGGAAGTGGTGACTAACCAGCCACTTACTTGGCAAGGGAAGGAATTACATTTCCTGATGGGTTTCTGGGAGGAAAACCTTGTAAGAATGCGTCATGCCTCTTGAGATGTCTGTTGGCCCTCTAGATGTGATTTTGATTGTTCTCCAGTCTCCTACCCGCCAACAGGGCAGCTTCCCCCACTGTTGCTTCTGAGAACCACCTACTCTTCTTTGGACTCTTGCCTCCTTTATTCATATGTCATATATCAGCATTCTTAACTCATCTTTGCCCCAAGAGCAACACTTGGAAACTCTTTTGTGAAGTGGATCAAGTAAAGAGAACTTTTTATTGTTTATAGCAATAAAGCAGCATTAAGAGAATAAGTGAGAGAGTAGACCCAGACAGAAAGAGATGGCGCTTTGAAGTGTCTGGGTATTAAGAAGAAATAAAGGATATGTACTGAGGCGCAAAATCTTTTATTTCCTCTTTTTTTTTTTTTTAAATACCATACTCTAAAGCAGCATGCTGTTCACTATAGAGTACAAGATGATTCAATGAATTCAGAAAGAAAATATTAGTACTTTATTTATTTATTTTTTTTTTTTGAGACGGAGTTTCGCTCTTGTTACCCAGGCTGGAGTGCAATGGCACGATCTCGGCTCACCGCAACCTCCGCCTCCTGGGTTCAAGCAATTCTCCTGCCTCAGCCTCCTGAGTAGCTGGGATTACAGGCATGCGCCACTATGCCCAGCTAATTTTTTGTATTTTTAGTAGAGACGGGGTTTCACCATGTTGACCAGGATGGTCTCGATCTCTTGACCTCGTGATCCACCCGCCTCGGCCTCCCAAAGTGCTGGGATTACAGGCTTGAGCCACCGCGCCCGGCCTATTTTTCTTAAAAAAAATTAGACTTTACTAGTATTCAGTTTAAAGAGCAGGGAATAGTTGTCTATAATTTTTAAATACGTGTATCTAAGGAATGTATACTTAACACTTTTTTTACTGAGAGATGTCTACTAACATAAATGGTTGGAGACCACTATAGCACACGAAACAGTCCTCTGTGATAAAACCACATCCATCTCTCCATCAGCCAAGGGAGATAACTCGAAGGTACGACCACCTTCCTGCACCTCTTAAGATAGTTTGTGAGGTTTATGATGAGATGTGATGTAAGAGACATTGAATTCTTACAAGAGTTAAATTGAACAAAATATAATTATTTCTGTGGTATTTCAATATCTTAGTTATAGGTAATTACCACCCCTTCTTCTGTGATATACTGTCAAAAGTATGTAAATAAAGAGTACTAACAGTCTTTTACTGTGTGCCTGCTTCTGTGTTAAGAATATGTTTTATTGTGTGTTAATGTATTTGATTAGTTTTGTGTTGGAGCTATGTAATCATAAAGCCATGACAACTTTTCTTATCTAAGTTGTTAACAATAACAGTTAATGTTTAAATAGCTGTTTTTCCGAGATTTTTGTTGTACTTTTAATATATCTCATTGACCCTAGAAATTATTCCAGGGTTAGTCAGTCATATTTTCTTCATAGAGTAGAGAAATGAAAGCTATGTTAGTTTAGGGGACAAGAACCACCATTGGATCTTTTGGCTTGTTTCCCATAACTCGCTTTCTTTTAGATCAAAAGAAAGTGGCAAAAGGCATTCTATATTCATGAATAGAAAGACTGATTATTATTAAGATATCAATATTACCCTAAGCTATTTATAGTTTCAATACAATGTCTATCATAATTCTAACAACCCTTTTTGCAAAAATAGAAAAGCATATTCTCAAATACATATGAAATGGCATGAGGCCCTAATAACCAACACAGTCTTGAAAATGAACAAAGTTAGAGGACTCATACTTACCAACTTCAAAACTCACTGCAAAGCTATAGTTAATCAAAATGTTGTGCTGCTGGCTAATACTAGGCATACAGACCAATGGAATAGAGTGGAGAGCCCAGAAAGAATCCCATACTTGTATGCCCAACTGATTTCTGACAAGGGTGCCAAGACGCGTCAATGGGGAAAGAATTTTCTCTTCAACAGATGGTATTGAGACTACTGGATTTTTATGTGCAAAAAAAAATGAAGTTGGACCCCTACATCACACCATGTATAAAAATAAACTCAAAATGAATCAATGACCAGCATATAAATGAGAACACCGTAAAACTCTTAAAAGGAAATATACAGGTAAATCTTCATGACCTTCAATTTGTCAGTGGCTTCTTAGATATGACACTAGAAGCATGTACAACAAAAAGGAAAATAAATTGGACTTCATCAAATTTAAAAACTTTGGTACACTAAAGAGCATTATCAAGAAAGTGAAAAGGCAGCCAACAAAAAGGGGAAGAGATTTGCAAATCATGTAACTGGTAAGTGTTTACTATCCAGAATGTGTAAAGAACTCCTATAACTCAATAATAAAAATGAAACCTAATGCAAAAATGGGCAAAGGATTTGAAAAACATTTCTGTAAAGAAGAGATACTTGAAAAAATGCTGAAAATCATTAGTTGTTAGAGATATGCAAATTAAAAACGTAATGAGATTATCATTTTATACCTAGTAGAATGGTTATGCTTTTTAAAAGAGAATGAAAAATAAGAAGTGCTGGCAAGGATGTGGAGAGTTTGGAACACTCACACATTACTGATGGGAATGTAAAATGATGCAGCCACTGTAGAAAACAGCTTGGCAGTTCCTCAAAAAGCTGAAACATATAATTACCATATGACCCAGCAATTTCACTTTTAGGTATGTACCCCAAAGAGTGGAAAACATGAACTCAAACAGAGACTTGAATGCCAGTGTTCACTGCAGCATCGTTTACAGTAGCTAAAAAGTGGAAACAACCCATGTGTTTATCAACAAATGAACTGATAATCGAAACATGGCAGCTTGGCTGATATGCACACAATGGAATATTCTCAGCCATAAACAGGACTGGCATTTTAATGCATACTACAAAATGAATGAACCTTAAAAATATTATTCTAAAGAAAAGCAAGACAAAGAAGGACAACTATTATATGATCTCACTTCTATGACGTATCTAGAATGGGCAAATTCATAGAAACATAAAGTAGAATAGAAGTTACCAGGAATTGGGGGGATGGAGAGTGGGAGGGAGGAAAGTTACTGCTTGATGGTTGCAGGATTTATTTTGGGGGATGATAAAAATGTTTTAGAGGTAGATTGTCATGACAGTTGCTCAATGTTGTGAATGTAATTAATGTCACTGAACTGCACAACTAAAAAATGGTGAAAATGGCAAACATTCTGTTAAAAAATGTAAAAATAATTAGGGCTGTAATAATGCTTATTTTGCTTTCACTTTATTGAAAATATGGAAAAGAGTTATTAGAACTTTTATCATCCTTGTCTACTAATTGTGTCACCTGTGTCATTTCTGGTCCTGTTTCTATTGGTTGTTTTACCTCCTCACTATGGGTCATATTTTCCTGCTTCTTTGTATGCCTGGCAATTTTTCATTCTATGCCAGACATTACAAGTCAGTCAATGAAACATTTTCAATTCATGTTGTTTATTACTTTAAAAAAATTGTGGGCATATAGTAAACATATTGTTCATTAATTTTTTAAATTCATGCTTTTCGTAACATTATTAAAAAGGAAAGAAAGCAAAATGACCCAAAAAGTGGGCGTTTAGTGAAATTTGAGACGTCTATTCCCATTTTCCTCACATATGTGCAGGTCTGAGGTTGCAGAGTCCTGTGTCAAGGGCTGTCATAATGCTTACTCTGCTTTCATTTTATTGAAACTCTGGCAATCTGTGGCAATCTGAAATATGCTGAGATGAAAGCTTTTTTTTTTTCTTTCTTGATACAGAATTTTGCTGTTGTTGCTCAGGTTGGAATGCAGCAGCACGATCTTGGCTCACTGCAACCTAGCCTCCAGGGTTCAAGGGATTCTACTCCCTCAGTTTCCCTAGTAGCTGGAGTTACAAGTGCCTGCCACCATGCCCAGCTGATTTTTTTGTATTTGTAGTAGGGATGGGGTTTCACCATGTTGGCCAGTCTGGTCTTGAATTCTTGACTTTAGGTGATCCACCCGCCTCAGCCTCCCCGAGTGCTGGGATTACAGGTGTGAGTCATCATGCCTGGCTGAGATGAAAGCTTTTAACAAGTCAACCCACAGAATCATTCTTTTGGATACCAAAGCAACATCTATCTGCATAATATTTTAGAGAATAAAGATGCCCCATTTTTTTCTTGAAAGAGAATTAGCAATTAATTTATTTTTTACTTTTATTTTAGTTTCGGGGGTACATGTGAAGGTTTGTTACATAGCAAACTCTTGTTACAGGGGTGTGTTGTACAGATTATTTCATCACCCAGTAGCCAATAGTTATCTTTTCTACTTCTTTCCCTCTTACCACCTTTTACCTTCAAGAAGACCCTAGTATCTTTGCATTCTTTTTTTTTTTTTTTTGGAGATGGAGTCTCTCTCCATTGCCCAGGCTGGAGTGCAGTGGTGGGATCTCTGTTTACTACACACTCTGCCTCCGAGGTTCAAGTAATTCTCCTGCCTCAACCTTCCAGGTAGCTGAGACTACAAGTGCATGCCACAACGCCTGG